ATAGATAGATAGATAGATAGATAGATAGATAGATAGATAGATAGATAGATAGATAGATAGATAGATAGATAACATTTATTAAGAAAAGAAACGTGAAAGGAAGAAAGACAGGCAAAGGGACACACACACACACAAAACGAATAAAAAACAAAGTCGTTCCACGTTCTGCCAAATCTTCAGGTTTGGTGGCTCTCAGGCTGCGAGGACACCAGGCCAAGTTATATGTGAAACTCTGAAACGACTGTTTGAAGCCTTTTGATGCCTTTTGACCCTTTCTACAATTGAAGCCTTTTGGGTGCCCTAAGCAAAGGCCCAACCACGCCCCAGCAGACCCGCACGCACAAGACCAAGAACCTCCCATCGAAGTGAGTAGGGTATCAAGCGAAGATAGGTTTCCGTCAGCCCTTTGACATGAAAGCTACATCTATGGATGCTTTTGCCACGGGCTCAAGGCCGGCTTCAGAGTAGATTAGACAGGTCGGTTTTGCCTGTGCTAAATTCAGCCTCTCAGCTGACGGCAGTATTGACTCAGATTGACACTGCAATGACTTGTAGTGCTCAACCTGACAAATAGAACATGCAGTCATGTGTTTAAGAAGCTCTGAGGCCTGCGCGATATGGTGGATTTTGTTTTGCCACAGGTGAGGATGCTCACGTCTCAGGGGTTTGTGCTTGGACCTTCGCTGCTTGGTAGGTCAGCAGCTACATTGATGGCTGGGGACCGCCGCCACAGGGAGAGTTAGAAACACCGCTAGGCATTGGTGATTTCGTCGGGACCTTAGAGCTTGGGTGTTTAACTGAATCGACAAGAGTTTGGACACTTTTCAGTCCAGACATGTTCGGGGTAAGTACTGCACTACGAACAATTGTGAAGAGCTTGCCGAAATGGTCTACTTGGATGTGTAGGATGAACTAACCAGCTTGGAGGTTGAACATTTGGAGAAGTTCCCCGTCACTCGAATTGGCCGAGTGTGCGACTTCACCGCTTCGGGGCAGCGTTACCAGGCACGAACAGGGCAGTGACAACTCAAACAGTGCAAGTCGCTGACACTTTGGCCTTTGTTGGTCGAAGGCAGAGCGGAACAAGGGAAAAGGCCTTAAGGGCACCGGCAAGGCGCAAAGTGGGAATTTCAACTTCTATGTTATTCCTTTGTGTTTTGTGATCCTTCTTCGCAACTGTGTTTTGCTGTTTGCTTGTCTTCCCTGTCACTTCCTTTGCTTTGATTGCCTTGAAACCACCGTCGTTGTTGCTAGTGCGTTGCTCGTTTATGTAGAACACATAGAAGTACAGAAGACGGCAGGTGGGACTGAGTGGCATGTTTGACGCTTGCGTGTGGCCAGGGCAAAGGCCCTATCCAAGCGCTGCAGCCTGGTTGGAGCCTCAAATCCCCAAGCCTAGGTTGTCGGTGCGGGAGCCAAACCTTTCAAATACGAAGAGAGGCACACATGAAACAAGAAGGTATAATATATATATAGTTCTATATATATATATAAGGGTCTCTTAATAAGGCCCCTCTATGAACCTTTCCCTGTTGATGGCCAGAGTCTCTTTACTGCTCAAGCCACAAGACTTTTGCTGAAGCATGCTAAAGCTGGAATCCCTTCATCCGGTCGCTCGGAAACTTTTGGAGGGTGAGACGTGCACCTTGTCCAAGACAGTGCCACGACTTATCCGTGGAGCACGGCCAAGCACGGAGACAACAAGGATCCCTAAAGAAGTTTGCCTTTTCCGAACAGCTTTGATTTTTGATGCTCCAGTCACGATCACAAGCATTGCCCTATGGGGCTCTGTGATGGAGCTCAGAACAACCACACTGGTGCTAGAACTGAAGGGCTGCACTGCAGCTGTCCAGTTTGCTCTAGACTTGTCTGGACCACAAAGTAATTATGTTCGTTTCTTGAGTCCAATTGGACTGAGAAGCAACGAGGAGTTCGAGCTTTTCTTATGTGATGATCGGCTTCGCACAGATGCAAGCGCTAAGCTTGATCTCGCGCGGTTGGAAATCATTCATTTTCGTGCAACGGATTCAGAGACTCGGGACATTGGAAGCGATCCATTGGATCCAATGTCCGCCTGTGACCTCATTGAATTTGAGTTTGAAAGTGACTCTCAAAGCATACAAGCCAACAAGTTTGTGCTTGCTGCTCACAGTACAGTCTTTAAGCGGCAGTTCTTTGGAAAATGTGTAGAAGCAATGACTGGCAGGGTCACCGTGACCGACTTCTCCTCTGTGAGCTTCAGACTGTTCCTCTCAATGCTTGTGGACAGCCGTGTTGCCTACACCATACTGCATGCTCCAGCAGGGGCAAGTATGGTTGAAGTTTGGGCTATCGCTGATAAGTATTGTGCGAAGGATGTGCAGAGCATTGCCGAGGCTGCATTGCTTCAATCTGTCACTCCCGAGAATGTCCTGGAGATACTGCAAGCCTGTCGTAGGTATCGAAGTGCTGAGAGCCTTGGACTATCTTGGACCAAATGATCCAACTAGCTTAGGCGCCGAGTTCGCACAACCTCAAACACACTCACTGAGCTTTGGTTGTATACCAGTCAATACTCTACAATACTAGTATATCAGTAGTACAAAACTAGTAACATCTAGTATCCTTTCGTGCGCTGAAACACCACTGGCCATTTTTCGATCCATGTCTCATAGACCTGGAAGGATGCCCCAGCCGAGCTCGTAGAATTAGGATCAGTTGTGCATACTAGTCATATTCTACAAATGTGATCAGACAACCTCCATATTGTCAAGGCTAGCGCAACGACTTTGCGAACAAGTTGTATCGAGATCTTCAGAAGACGTTGGCAAGCTGTTCCAGCCTTAGTTTTGTGTTCCAGCCAAGCCCGCCTTTTGTATAGAAATGCATAGTCATAGTAGCGCTGACTCTGGATCAGCTTAGGTTCACAGACCTTGTGGCAAACGACTACATTCCCACAAAGCGACCTCGAATTGACCACAGAAACACTTGAATTCACTCGAAGGCCAGATTGAAGAAACCTGGTCTTTTCCAAGTGTAAATGTCTTGACCCAAAACGTGACTATTCGGTCGCAAGCTTTTCCATGTGGCTGGATATGCTGCGAGAACGCAGCACTCCACACATTTGAGAGCTAGTGGCCAGCTTATCGGGCACGGGTTCATTTTTCCACCAACAGCTAAAGGCTGATGGTGCCATTCCTGAACAATCCAGATTGGCGCTTCTGCACCCGAGCCGAATGCAAAAGTCGAGCAGAAGTGCGGCAATGTGCTGCTGACTCCAAGCATTGCAAAGGGACCAAGAACGGAGGACCGTTCTCCTGTTTCCAAGCTTTAGCCATTGCATGCTGTGTAAGCCTTGGTCACAATATGCCAAGGTAAAGACGAGGAGGGCTTCTCACTCGTAGACAGCCGGCCAGTACCTGGAAAGTCCACAGGGAGAGGTCGCTCCTCAGGCAGATACCAAGCAGCTCGTTTTCTTCCTTTCTTTTATTCTTTTATTGTTTAACGTTCTCTTTTTATAATTTTCCTTCAATGTAGTCTAGTAGTCCAGAGAAGAGGACGGATGATGATGACTCATCAAGTACTTTGTATACTGTAGTTGTTTCTACAGGACGGGTAGCTGATGGCCTCACTGGATAAAAGCAAGAACGCTTCTCCCAAATGCTACTACTTGCACTAGTTACTAGTTCAAGTGCCATGCAGGCATGAAGGGGAAAGGCAAAAGTTCATTGCTCAGCCTGCGAACCTTTCTGGAAGTTCAGATTACTTGTCATTTCCATGTTATTGCACTGGCACACCTGATTGTTTGTCTCAGCTGAAGGCAAGGGAATTGCTTCGAACTATCAAGAGGGTATCCTCGGACAGAAGCAGAAACCCTATTACCAGGAGTGCCGCTGTGAATGGAGTCTAGTTCAATCTCCAGCCTTTGCCAAACATGTTTTGATACTTTTTGCCGATTCGGGGGGCAGCCAGGCCAATCAGAATCAAGCAAAAGGAAAAGGCAAGAAGACAACAGCTACCCGCAGAGGGATGCCTTCCTTCAAGGACCATAAACTGCGACATTACTGCTTCAGGTTTGAAGTATATATTTGACTGACCAAGCTTGCTGTACCGGGTACCGAGCTGTACCAAGCGGTAGTCCAAGCGGTCTATAGCTAGACTCGAAAGAAGCCGAAACCTTGGAGGAGTGGTCTGTGCAAACAAGGCCCGAATGGAGCCTCATGCGTGAAATTATGCTCACGTCTCTCGCTCCTTGGCTCGGTGAGCTCAGCATGGACCAGCGAGTGTTCATTGGGCTGAGGCTAAGCTTCAGATTGACGCGAAGGTGCAAAACAGATGACGACTACAGATTTGTTGTTTTGCAGAGATGTTTGATGACGTTTGACCTTTTCATGAGTTTTTTTCAAGTCGACCGCACCAGAGATTCTTCATGCTTTTTCAAGTTGCCAGTTGGTGGACTTTGAAGATGTCATTTGGGCTGGCAATTTGCCTACCTACTCGAAGGCCTCATACTCATATCATTGCCTGAAATAGCCCAACAGCTGAAAGACAGCTTTGATCGCTTTAGACAAACTTGTCCACCCATACCCCAACCGCGCTTCTCTTGCTTCTCTCCTTTTCACAAGCAGAGATGCATCGTTGAGTTGTGCAAGTTTTTCTGCAGGTGTTACATTTTTTACAATATATATATATTTGTTTTTTAACATATTGACTGTACACAAAACCACAAAGACGACACACCTAACCATTTTGCCGTTTGTTTATTTGTCGCATTTTTTGAGGCGTTTGATCGCGTCACAGCAAAGACAGAGCGGCCACTAAAGAGATTTGAGGAGAAAACCGTGTGAGAACGCCTAAAGTCTTTGGTAGAAGCAGCGGCTAAGTCAAGTCTCAGGGATTTGTAACACCAAGACCCAAGGCAAGGCCCAATAGAAGCGATGCGGCGATGCATCTTTGAAAAGCAATATGAAGCAAGAAGAGGCAAGAAGCATAAGACACATAAGAACGTTGTATCTAACCAGGCTGGGTATGCAAACATAGTATAGATATATATGTATAGATTAGCTATAGCAGCCATAGCTAGTAGTTAGTGCATTACTAGGCTCGAGGGACCTCCCCTAACCTGAGGGCGGCGTAAGCTTCGTTGAAGAACGATTTGTATGATTGATTAGGTTCCTTGATTCATAGGATTTGTAGGGAAACCTATATGAGTGCCTTCACGTGTTTGCAGGAGCTTAACTTCTTCAATGTCACAACATCCGACGACCCGCTCTTGCCGGACGGTGGATATCTCCACACAAACAATGTTTTCATTATTTGTAATTGTATAATATAGATCTTTTCAATCTCATGAGCGCATTGCCCCTTTGCTCCGCACTCGATTTTGCAGATTTGCATTATGCACCAGAAGGCAAATTGACCTCATGTGAAGGAACTTCTGCAGAACGATGACAGCGTCACTGTCATCGCCACCTGGTTTGCATAATATGCTGCATATGATATGTTCATCATATGCAACCGCAGCTGCAATGATGCCGCAAGCGTTCAGGCCACTGATCACGTGTTGGCCTGCCTTGTGGCAGCTGCAAGGTGAGCAGCACAAGTACACTTAAACAAAATGCAAGTCAGTTCGACCGTCAGACCATTTTCCGTCATTTTCTTCCTCACAGGTCAGTGTACTCTTGGGACATTGTCGTTTCAAAGGCCCTGTGTCACTGTGTCACTCACATTTGTTGACTTTGTGGACGGAAGAGGAGGGGCGACCACCGGGCCAAGCGTGGGTGTCAATCGAGCGAAGTCACCCCGAGGTGGCAAACAAGCTGATTTTTGACAAAAGAGATGGCTCGCAGATCGATTTCCTGACAGCCGCTTGAAAAGAAACAACTCAGAGCTATTCCTGAGATCAAACATTTCACAGTTGGCATTGTTTCAGGTCAATGAAACTGCACAGGATCCTCCCAATGCAGATGATAAGGAGAGTGACACATGCACACACACGATGCGAGCTCCAGTAGATGCTAGATGTATCTTGATGTGATCCTCTTTGCAGGAAAGCATGAATGGCCCTGTGAAGCTGGGTCAGGTGAGGCCTTTCGATTGGCCAGTTTAGGAGGTGCCATGTGCGACCGGTTCCGAGGAAGCTTCTTGCATCAACCAGAACTTCTCCCAGATGGTCCTTGACCCCGAGGCTTGTAGACCACTGTGGCCGAAGGAATCTTGTTTCCTAGTCATCAGGAGCCCGTGGACGAAATGCAGCACGCAAATCCTTTCGAGGATGAGGAGAGAAAGAAAGGGGTTGAGTGAAGCAGACAAGGGATTGAACAATCACAAGCAATGCAAACAAGTAGTCTTTGGTCTTTGAGTTAAGCATTCTTTCATTTCTTGAACACTTTTCTCATTTTTTCTCCCTTGCAGGAAAACCAAGGCTGCGTGGCATCTGGTGCCTACAGATATAGGAAGATCACGCTGCCTGGCAACCCCAAGGCTCTGCTGCACCTGATGGCGATCCCTTGAAAATTGTTTTTGATCATCTATGGTTGAGAGCTGAGTAGTAGTGCTTTAGGCTTTAGGTAGTGCTAGTTGCCCCTTACAACTACTGACAGGAAGGCATTCATTGTTTTAAGATGTATGGAACACCGAACCACTTACAATCACTAACAAGATAGGATTTGTTTGTATGGAGGAGTGACAGGGCGGCTTTGAGTAGATGTCTTGTTGGAGGCACCCACTGAGTTCGAGCAGAACCCAGTCAAGCTAGTGGTCCGTGACCGCCTGAGAATCTGTGCTTGAAAGTGCTTGAGAGCTAGGCTATTCACTAGCACTCAAGGTACAGAGGTGAACTGCAAGCTACCAGGGAGCACGGAGCTTGCTTCTGTCAAGGTCGGAAAACAGTTTGCAAAGATAGCCTGCGCTGGTGTGGTTGTTTTGTGGCCAGGCGATGCATGAGTATGAGCCCAAACCCAACTACAACTGGCGCTCCCACCTGGCCTTGATCTCAGCTGTCGCGATGGCAGATCAATAAGCAATATTCAGACACTTTAGTCGCATCAGTTTGCACACCATGTTGTAGTTCCTTGCGTTGAAAGCTCTTCGGGAAGTCGCATTGGTTTTCATTATTCCATGCGGTTTGAGAGCTTTCGAGGACAAGCAACATACACATGATCATGCTGCTGCTGGTTTGCTGTTGCTTCTCTGCTGCTTGTTTGCTCCTTTTCTCGCGGACTAGCAAGTCACCTGATGTGACTAAAGTTGGTGAAAGTACTGGTTGCAAGCTGCCCTGTGGAGAGAGTGGGCCCAGTGGGCATTACATATCAACAGAAGAACAAAAACTCAAACCTGGGCTCATCAGACTAGCGTCCTTGCTCCTAGTAGCGATGCCAGGTGCCCCTAGTAGCGAACATTGCTCCTAGTAGTACGGCCAGGAGCCCCTAGTAGCGTTCTTGTTACTACTAGTAAGGCACTTGTCACGAAAGGTAGCCCTTTAGGGGATACCTTGAGTTTGTCTTGCGAAGCAAATGTTGGGACGTCCGGGTCTAATAATTGATCATTCAATTCAACCCCCCCCCCCCCCCCCCCTCCCCTTCGAATTGATTTTTCAATACAGACCCCCCCCCCGCCCCCTTGGAATTGATTTTTCAATACAGACCCCCCCCCCTCTAAATTCAATTCTCTCCTGGAGAACGTCTTCGTGAGCCTCTCATGACTTCAGGATAGTTGAAACCCGCTTGAACATTCAGAAAGAGTGCATAATCACGAAAGGTGTTCCCCGAGGGGATACATACCTAGAGTTTGTTTTGTGAAGCACGTCAATTCTCTCCTGGGGAACGTCTTCGTGAGCCTCTTATGGTTTCAGGATAGTTCAAATCCTATGATGCTCCGATTCAATGCTCACCGATGATCTGAGCCATGGGGCAAGTTTCTTTTCCTCAGGATCTTTTTGAACATTTCGAGAGCATATGTTTGAACATTTAGAGTGCGTATGAACATATATTTACGACAGGTCGCCTCCGAGGGGATAAATCACCATGTCGAACATTGCATGTTTGTTCCTGCCTCTCGCGTTCTCTTCTCTTCCCGCTGTCCTACCTTTCGTGTCTCCCTCCTCTCAAGTTCCTAGTAGCGTCCTTGCTCCTTCTTTCAGTTTCTATATCTTTTGCTGACGGCCAAATCCTGTCCTGTGCTGATACTACCAACATGCTGCCAAGGAATCACAGCGAGGCATCCCCGAGAGCAGTTTGATGGATATTGCGAACTCAATGCGTTGGACTTTTTGATTCTTTGTTCATTTGTTTGTAGCCACAAGGACACAAGTTCTCGCCGATGAAGCCGAAACCCACTGACACTTGACAGCATTGCAGCATTGCAGGTGCATGCCTGGCAACTGAGCTGAAGAACAATGCCTTCAAGCTCGGCAGGTGGACGGCACAGGCAGATGTAAATGCAATAGGCTGCAAAGTTCCATCAGATGACATTCAAGACCGTGAAGGGGCTGGTGATGTGGTCGATAATGTTGCCGCGTATTGACTTTGGAGCTCGACATTGCAATGAGCATGCCTCCCCCCTGCAGGCCATTCTTGCCGGATGTGACACCATCAAGATTGGCTATGTGTCCGAAGCTTTACTTATATACGTGTTTGGTTTCAGCAGTTGCTGGACATAGGGACACAGTATGATCAGCTCTCCATGGCTCATGGCAGTCGAATGGCCAAAGGGATTGACAGCTACCTGGCAGTCTTTGAAGATGTGGTCAGTGTAGAGGATGCAAAAGCATAATATGAGGAAGTGCGCGTGTGGCAATCACATAAATTCATTCTTGAGATTTTCGATCGTGGTCCGCTGCACACATTTTTCACAATAATTGTAGAGTTCTTTCTTAACCTTTCCCTTTTGTACGGATTTGTAGAGCTCGCTTCCAGCCCAAGCAGCAAGACTTAGGTCACGCCAGCATCCCAAGGATCCATGGTCCCATTCTCTTCTGGGAGTCCAAACCTACACCACTAGCAGCTTTGCGGAGCAGATTGGCCTCACAAGGAATAACATGTTGCTTGCTTGCAAGTCTTGCCAGTCCAGCAGTCAGCAACAGCTGAGTCCTTTCCTCCAGCGTAAGGTTTGGCATCATTAGGAACATCGTCGACTTGATCATGGGCACCTTGCCTGCTGTGAGCCGATTGCAGAACAGCAATTGTTGTTTTGTTTGGAGCCTGTAAGGTTGGGAAGATGGAAAGTACCTCTTGCTGAAGGCCTGCGTCGCCTGCTTTTGGAGATGCTCCATGCAGAGTTTGGCCACACATTTGCGCAGAGCACATATGAGCATGGGAGCAGCTAAGATAGCTAAGCGGGCAGGACCCAACCAAGTCCGTTTTGCGCATCCACGAGGCATGGCAGCATGGCATAGTTGACTTGGGCTTTGCATGCGAGTCTGTATCAGGAGCACAAGCTGAATAGAAAGACTCCTAGGTTGCAGACTTGGTTTTCTTAGTGCATGTTTGTGTTTTCTTTTGTAGGTGCCCTGGGACACCTTCCAAGATGACGATGAAGATGAAGAGGCGGATGAAGAAGAGGACAGCTGTACTATCTGTGCCAAGCCGGGCACGCGATGGTTGGAGTGCCACCTCAATAATCTCAACAAAGCTTGAATCTAAAGCAGCAACAGCAAGCAAAATGACGATACATCATCAAGATTCAAGTGAAATGACACGTGATGAAAAGTAAACAACAACTCTCAAAGCTGATGTGGAGGAGGAACAAGAGCTTGATGAGGATGGCAATGTGGTTCCCCACCAGGCAAGCTAGGCGAGGACCTTTGCATGCTAACTGGTGCTGTTAAGCGTTCCATATCGTTGATCTGAGCAGCTGAGCACCTACTTGTTCCTAGTAGCGAACATTGCTCCTAGTAGTATGGCCAGGAGCCCCTAGTACCGTCCTTGCTCCTAGTAGCGATGCACTTGTTCCTAGTAGCGTCCTGTGAATCTTGAATGACTTGATTGTTAACTTGCCTTGGACTTGCCACCAAGGTTTGTCCCTGCTCACGGCCAATCCTGGACTGAATGCAGCTCATACGGTATAAATACCTTCTAAGCAGCTGATTGACCAGGACGGCACCAGGAGATAGATCCCATCAGCCATTTAGGCAATTTCTTGGATGACATACCAACTATTTTGGGACAACCTTCGCATATTTAGTGGTCGTACAGGCTGTCAGAGGATCTGCACTTGTTCAAAACTTGTTGATTCCTGGAGCCAAATTGACATGTTGTGCAGAGCAAAAAAAGAATCGCTTTGTCGGGAGTTCTTTGCAAGATTGCGTTTTGATGCTTTCATATGCTTTCAGTGTTTGTTTTGCCTTGCATGCAGCAAAGCTGCTGAAGCTGAACAGTGCCAGTGCGAGAGTAAGTATGCTTGACTAGCATGGCCATGTTTAGTCTTGCAGGTGGGAGACGATGGTGCCACTCACATAGCAAACGCTCTGGAAGTAGCTGCAAGTGAAAAGATGCACACAATTGATGTCAGCAGGGAGCCCAGAGGATCTTCACGAGTTCCTTTGATGTTATCAAGTTATCACTTGAACTATGAGGTGGCAACAGGATCTCTGATTTCGGAATGATTCAGTTGAGCAAGGCCATTCAACATGTCTACAGCAATGCGAAAAAGCTGACTAACCGGAACACCAACGCATTCTCGCGGAAAGAAAGCTTTCTCTCAGCCTGACTCAACTTGCAAAGAAACACTGATAAAGGCCTTGCTGATGGCGAGCAAAATGCGGATCCTGGATCTTTCAGGGAACAAATTCGGGGACCAGGCCTGTGGTTACGGTTTGCACATGAGTTTATATACATTGTGCACAGTGCTAAAGGTCGGCACTCACGTTTCTACAAAAATGAGCAATTTGCATGTTCCTTGAAAAAACGATACCAATCCCAAAAACGATACCACACATCTTGGAATCTATCTTTGCCTATTAACACTGTTGACACTCGAGGCAGTGTATGTCCAAGGTTCTTTTTTTGCATATGGTTTGCCATGCTAGTTGGACATTCCAGTTTGTTTTTGCTCATGTTCCCTTCTCTTTCTTTGTTTAAACAATTATGGGTTTAGACCGATACCAAAAAACGATACCCACTTCATAGGTCTCCCCTCAGAAACCACCTGCCCACTCACATGCCGCCACTACTACTGCCACTACTTCTACTTACTTCTGCTACTACTTCTAGCACCACCGCCACCACCACCACCACCGCTACTACTACTACTACGACTACTACGACTACTACTACTACTACCACCTACTTACTACTTACTACTTACTACTTACTACTTACTACTTACTACTTACTACCTACTACTACTACTACTACTACTACTACTACGACTACGACTACGACGACTACTACTACTACCACCTACTTACTACTTACTACTTACTATCACTACTTACTACTTACTACTTGCTACTACTTACTACTACTTACTACTACTTACTACTACTTACTACTAACTACTTACTACTAACTACTACTTACTACTTACTACTTACTACTAGTATAGTTCTAGTACTAGTACGACGACGACGATGACTACTACCAGTCATCATTTGGAAGATCACCTTCCAGATAAATTTACGTTTAGACGATACCTCCCCAAAAAATTGCATATGGATTGAACAACGATACCAATCCCAAAAAAGATACCTGCCTTAAAACTTCCCACCAAACGACCCCTAGTTTTGCCGGTTGCACGACATGTTTCTCAACGGAATAGCTTTCTTTCTATTATGTTATTTTTCCTGAATCCAGCGATTGAAAGTTAAGTGTCAGGCATAAATTATATCCTTTAAGAAGAAGCAACAGCCATATTTGTGAACTTGTGAACAAGCTACATTATTGGTGTTGTGATTTGCAGGCAACCGAAGAGTTGGCAAAGGCCAGGGCGGAATGAAGACTTTGGCAAAACCGTTCTTTCCGAGACCGGCGAGACCTCGGGCAGCGATGTTTGGGCTTCAAAAGACGCACGCAAATGACACTTGTTACGTTGCTGTTGGTGCTGGCCAGGCATTGCCCCCGAATTTGGAGGAGCTTGACTTGACAGGCAAAGGGACAGTTGAAGTTCCAAAGTGGGCCACTTTGGAAAACGAGTCAAGAACCATTAGGCAATCAGATTGGGCCTGACGGAATCAAAGCTTTGGCCTCTGTGGCCACAGGCTTAGGTTTAGTTTGGGCGTTCCTTCAAGGCAGGACATTTTCCAGGGTCACCTGAGCTCCAAGATTGAAGATACGAGTTTGACAATTTCCAAGGTCAAGCATCACCCACTCAAGGAGCTGAAAGCAGAAATCGGTCTAAGTGCTGCCTGGACCTGCAACGTGCAAGGAGCTCTCCATTGGTGAGAACCACACAGGCGACACAGCTGCAACATACATTGCAGAGGCCTTTGGGGAGGCTGGATGCACAGACAGTGCTGCAATTGCTCAGGCTGTAGCAGTTGTAGCCTGTCCAATGCCTTGCCCCATGGGGCTCAAGCCAATGCCACTGCCACTTAAGAAAAAAAGCTGAAACTTTATGCTGTCCAAGCAACCAACCACCCCACGCAAACGAGCGTAATCACATGGATTTACAGTAGATAGAGATGTGCTTCCCTTTTCACACTCCTTGATCCCTGTTGACAACTCTCGCAGGGCTGTGGTTTGGTGGCGCTCCACTTCACCTGGTCTGATCTCACGGATCATGCTGCGAGCTGTTTTGCCCAACACCTTTGCAACCAACCCAAACTCAGGCAAGAAAAGCTGTAATGAGCAACACGAAGACAGCTGAGCGCTTCTTCAGTTTCTGCTTTGCAAGGGAACTTTGGCTCACAAACAATAAGATCCAAGATGTTTGGATCTCAGATTTCTGTATGCATTCTTCTCAATGATGCAACTCCTGCAGCGAAGAACCTAAGAAACATATCCACTGATCTCCAATATTTTTAAAATAATGGCTGCACAACCCTTTCTGGTGCAGGCAAGACGCAAATTGACCACTTGAGTCACCTTAGGCTGGAGCGCTTGAGCTGTGCAAAGCCACGGAGGAGCATGGCCAACTGAGGCAGCGATTTCTTCAGCGGTTGACTTTGATCTAGAAAATCATTGAAACTGCACGCTGAATACTTTCAGGATGCTTGCGCCAGCACCTTAATCCGGCAATGTGGCCGAAGCCAGTGTCAATCAAGATGATCTTGCAGTACTAGCAGAGAGGAGCTACTGCTAGTAAGGCCATGTAAGGCCCTTTCCTACTAGTAGCTTCTTGTTACTAGTAGCGATGCACCTTGTTACTAGTAGCTTGTTGTTTGCTTAAGCAAGTGGACTCCTGTGCAATGTTGAAAAATCAAAGGCTGGACAAGAACAAGATTACTGACGTTGCAAGCATCGAATTTGTCGGAAGCCTCGGCAAGCCAAGGTTTTGCTTAAGTTTTCCTAAAACTCTAGGAACCAAATCATTAGCGCGAGCGTGAGCTATCCTGCGTCCAGTTCCTAGAAGCGTCCCGCTTAATAAACTTAATAGCTACTAAGTAGCTACCTCTCTTCTACTAGCTACCTGGCGGCCTACCTGGGCTTCAAAAGAAAACACTTTCGTTCAAAGCCTTGCAAGTCTGTTTTGGAATACTTCGGCCCAAGGTCGATGCGCTTGTTCGCTTGAACAAGAAGGCTGGTTCTTCTACTAGTAGCTACTAGTAGCTTCTTGCTAGTAATGCACTTGTTCCTAATAGCGATGCCCGATGCCCTTGTTACTAGTAGCGATGCTTCAGATGCTAATGGCGCTTCTTTGCAGGACATGACTTGCAGCTTGATAGGGAATATCTCCAAGCGCTTCAATGAGGACATGCAACAATGCAGAGCAACATGTGATTTTGCACCGAGACACATCATGAAGATATTGATGTGACTCTTGCAGGACTCACTCACTAATCTAAACATTGCAGCCGCAACAGTGAGGCACGCACACATCAGTGAATTGGCCCAATGGACGGTGAGTTGCTGGTAAATAAGGTTCCGGTCATGCTTGCAATGACTTGTTCAGCTCCAGGCTTCAATTTTTGGAGCTAAGCACAATGGCATCCCCAAATGGTCAAAACCAGTATGCCCAGAACTGTGAGTGCATGCAGGGCCATGGCGAACAGATCTATGACATTGGAAATGCTGTTGAAGTTCTTCAAGGACACTTGATGCGTGCCTCCTGTTTTTGTTTGGGTGTTGTCCTGGTAGTGAGTGCTCTCGCCCTCCCTCTCCTCCCCCCTCCCTCCCTCCCCTCCCCCCTGAGGGGTAAGTTCCCCCAGAAGTGGCAGTTGGATAACTGGACCTGATCGAAACACCAAGTGAAGTCACACCAGTGCGTTTGGTGTGCGAGCGGCAGCGATGCACACCTTTTCTATGGCTGTGGATGCAGGTATTGGGCTACGAAGTCTTGAGCCAAATGAATTAAGTCGAAAGCGGACTGAAGAGCTACATACTAGTCTATGTACAAGAACAGGTGCTACACACGTATAGCGTAGACACGCCTAGGGGGACCTAGGACCCTACTAAACACAAAACAGAGACAAGTTTTCTTCGTGTCGAAGCTTACGATCGCTAAAGTACAAAAGGTTCGCAAAAAGATGCAAGTGAATTACAAAAGTTCTGTCTTCGCAGAACTAGACCGTAGATGCCATTCTGGCTCATCTAGGTTGCGTCAGATAATTTCTACAAATCTACGAAAGGCATACTTGTTGCATCGAACGTTCCGGAATGTCGGAAAATGTCTTTTTCAAGTCAAATCATCAAGTTAAAGTCAAATCTATAAGGCCTTTAGTTTAGATATATCTGGGTCCCTTAAACTGCATTTAGCTTTGTGGCATTTAACCGTAGTCGGCCGGAATATCGGCTTTTCAAAGACTACTGCCTTGGCTGAGCTCTAGCCGGCATATCGGCTTCTTAGAGCAGAGACTACCTACCAGTCCCTGTAGCCTCGGTAACCGGTGTTCCAAGATGAAGAAGATGAACCGGTATACCACCATGAGCTTGACGCTCCCGAGGACCAGGGCTGGTGCCAGCCAGCTTGGCGAGCTTGTTTATTCTGCCGAGATCGTTCCTTCAACATTTCAAGTCGCTCGGCATTCTTCTCGCCACGTTTCTCGGCGGATTGCTGGCCACGAACTCTGATCTTGTGTCGGCTGGCAAGTGCTGAAATGGATGGTGGTAACCCAAATCGCTGCTCTTCAGACACAGATCAAGATGGTTCAAGTGCTTGAGGAGTTCGTTGACCTTAATGGTAGTCTCTTTCTGGCGTGGAGGCTCCTCATATCCGACACGTCCACGATCATCCGGAATATCGGATGTCCTTGACCGCAACGTATGCATGTCCTTGCCGTAATTTAAGGCGATCTGCAACAGGCAGTCGCAATCGGCATCCAGACCTTCCAAAGCGGCGAGCTGCTCGCTGGCGAGGGTTGAGACCTCCCAGTTATAGGTGATGCGCTTGCTCGGCTCACGCTTCTTGTTCACAGAAACAAGGATCTGGTCAAGGATTGTGAGGACTGCTCCGGTTCCTGGATCGGCATGTCGATCGCCCCGGAAGTTGCGGTTCGTGAACTGGTTAGCATCGCACGCGATGACGTCCACCTGGTCTGCCACAGCCGTGATCAAAATCTTCATGATGGCGTTCTTACCGGCCGTAATACCTGACTGAAAGGCATGGGCATTGATGTGAAAAGCGCAAACTCGAAGTTCAGGCATATGCATGCGCTTGCAGTCATTCAGGCTCCCGGTCCGGAATGTCGGACACTCGTGGAACAATGCCTCTGCATCCACTGGTTCGGCTTCAGTGTAAGTGGTGGATGCCTGTGCTACAGCTAAGGTGTCAGGGCAGACTGTTACCTCCATGTTATCTGCTGGATCAGCACCTTCTTCAAGGGCAACTCGGAGGTTCTTTCGGACGCCGCGGTCATCGGTGATGCCTCCATCTGTGGCTTCTTCGACCTTTCCCCAGATCACGCGGAATGTCGCGGCATGGGCTACCCAGGCTAAGCGTTCGCCTTCAAGCTCAATCCGGCGGATGAGTTCCAGCCTCGAAGTGCCAAGTGGATCACTGGAACAAATTGCTGCGATAGCAGGAGATGATTCTCCATCCGCCAGTGCCAACACGCTCAAGCATTTATATTGGTTAAAGAGCTCTCGATGACGCTCGATGCCGTTGGCTGGCTTCAAGAAGGATTGTGATATGAGCTGTGTTCCTGACAAGGTAGTGCGGAAGCACAGCGTATTGATCGGTCTCAGCGAGCTCCCTGGATAGTGGCTGCCTGCCGTTGAAGTGAGGTGTACGGTTGATATCGCCGAAGTTGAGGAGCAGGACACTGACGTGTTCAGTCGATCGGAGAAGTCGTGCTTCATCGAGATCAAAGTCTCCCTGGTTCGCGCGATATCCCTGCATGTACGAACGGCCTAGCTCGACAATCTGTCGCATCTCCGCGCCGGTATATCGGCGATTGGAGTCGTAAAAGCAGCTTGGCCGAATGATTGGGTATGGTGCCACATCGGACTGTTCGTCCCAGTGCTGAGCAATCGAGGGAATGGAACGGCTCCTGTAGGTTGGATGGTTCGTGTAATGGTACTTGCTGACTCCTTCAAGGACAATTCGATCCATCGCTGCATAACCTGTTGAGCCGCCACCGAGAACAAGATCTTTGATTTCTTGCAGACGGTGCAATCGACCGGCATACCGGTCGTCCGGGTGCCAACCCTCGGATTCGGCTGCGAAGGGAATCGTGAAATCAATTTCTGCTGTGACCTCTTCGCGCTCGTGCTCACCCAGCGGTGCCGGAATATCGGCGTCTGGGACTGTCGAACAGAGATAAATGCTGTTACATGAGCAATGGTTGCTGACATCATGATAGCAGTCAAGGCATGTTCCATGACTACATGCTCTGCAGAAGAAAAGTACGTCAGCGCTGGAACAGACAAGGCACGTCATCTTCTCTGGACGGTGGAAATTACTTTGTTGGAGTACTCTGTGCCTTTCTGGCGTCGCTGATGACCTCCCTTGCTCGGGAGGTCGCACGCTTCTTGGGCCTTGGCTCGATGTACTGCGTTTCCGGAATATCGGAAAACGAAACCCTGTGGCCGGATGGCGTGCGGGTCATTCCCGGTGCTCGGTCAGCCTTCTTAAGGACAGTGCGAGTTGGCGCGCGTGACCTTGCTCGGGAGGACCAGACCCTTGTACCTGACTTTTCTTCTTTCTTAACTGCTGTTGAAGCTGAGGCTGCTGCTGAAGAATCGTCCGGCATATCGGACTCTTCCTTCTTCACAGTGCCTTTCTTGACCCAGGTTCCTTTCTGGCGTGCTTCTGCGAGATCGTCCACCATGGCTGCATCTAATGT